CTTTCACGACAGACATGAGTAAGTAACTCCTTATCTTTTTTAAGTACCTTACTTTGTCTATGTCTACAAAACACGTCATATCACGAGAATGTTAATTATCTTATTTGGAAGGACTTGAAGTAGACGGATTGTACAGCATTAATTTAGACGAAAATATATTTTTAAGCTACTGGCTACCTTCAACTTGTTTATTTCTATGATAAATGTATAAATGTATAAAATATAACCTTAAGGTAAAGGGTACCATTGCACCAGTTATCGCGAAGAAGAGTTCCACGCAGGGTATATTTGACTTGGAGTATTCTCCCTTCTATATAGAAAACGAAGCAAAGGGAGTTTTTCTGGTTTAGAGTTCCTTTACCTATCAAATTATTCATATGCTTTACAACCCATAAATAGGACACTAATTTCAGTGCTGTTCTTGTATAATTCCTGTATAACAGCATTGGTAAAGTGTAGAATCTGTAATATAAAGGTCTCGAGTTCTACCACTGCAGTTTTCTTTTCTTTTTATCATTCAAATGTCAAACAGCTACATTTCTGTAAACTAAATGACAACATGTTTTTTTTTTAAATATTTCTTTTGAAAAGGACATATTTCTCAGTATTGATAATGGTAATAACATTGTTTAACTTGTTGGTATCCTTTATCATAAACTTGTATTCAACGGTGACCTGCCGTTTACGTATGTATGTTTTAGCCTGCTTTAACTTCTTAATCCCTAAAGACATGCTCTCTCCTCAGAAATGTACGAAAACCATTGACTCCTCTGCGTCAGTGTCATATCTTAACAGTTACCAAATGAATGAAAAAGGTCCCTTACAACCGAGTTATTTGACATATGCGATGACTTTTGTTTCACTAACGTGAATTAATTTTCCTTTTCTCTGTAGTAACATTATAGTATCCCCTACGTACATAGTGTCACAGCTGTTTTGCTTTCCAGGGCCTGTTTTAAGTATTGAGAATCTTTGTGTATTGGTTTTCGGGTGATAGTTGCTCAACCAGGATGTTCTACATGGAAGAAACATTACGGTCGTCGTCATATCTTGAATTTTCCAAATGAGAAGTTTTACTACATACTATGATAAATGACCATGCTCTTAGATCTACCTAATTTCCTTACTTTGACAGGAGATATTATGAGAGGCAAAAATTGTATAAATTGTTGATTTGGAATACCTTGTATGATTTCAGTGAGGAAGTCGTTTGAGTATTTAACAGTTAAGATGATTCAGTCAGCACAATAGTAACGTATCGAAGGCACTTTCACGCAAAAAGACGGTTTGGGGAAGGATATTTCCAACCCGGGAGCAAAATAGCCCTGGTATGTTTATGGAAAAATTCCATTTAACATTTAGAAGCACAAATCGCTGTATTTCCCTTGCATTACAAGACAGAATAAATGTTTTTTTGTAAGCTTACAAATACCTTGGAAGTAAAAAATGATTTTATTTGATGAAACTGAAAGGGTAATGGTACCATCGGTTGTAACCCAGTGTTTGCTTGGCCATACTGGTAACAGTAAGTGTAAGAGGAGAGATAGAGTGAGAATGCTTCTTTCGGAAGTGTATTCAACACTACGGTATAAATTTGTGAGCCGTATCTTTTAAGTTGTAATGTGTTCGGGCACGGTTAACGTGAATACTAATTTAAGTAGCAGCCAAAACGTTTAATGTATCAATGAAAACGTATTTTGATGATTGTTTGGCTTATTTATTGATGATAAAATATAATGCTGACTGGCTATAAATAGGTTGATGGTTCTATTTAAATGAAAACTTAATTTGATGATTGTTTGGCTTATTTATTGAGGATAAAATATAATGCTGACTGGCTATACATACATGTAGGTTGATGGTTCTATTTAAATGAAAACTTATTTTGATGATTGTTTCGCTTATCTATTGAGGATAAAATATGTGCTGACTGGCTATACATAGGTTGATGGTTCTATGTAAATGAAAACTTATTTTGATGATTGTTTCGCTTATCTATTGAGGATAAAATATAATGCTGACTGGCTATAAATAGGTTGACGGTTCTATTTAAATGAAAACTTAATTTGATCGAGGATAAAATATAATGCTGACTGGCAATAAATAGGTTGATGGTTCTATTTAAATGAAAACTTATTTTAATTGAGGATAAAATATAATGGTGACTGGCTATAAATAGGTTGATGGTTCTATTTAAATGAAACTTATTTTGATTGAGGATAAAATATAATGCTGACTGGCTATAAATAGGTTGATGGTTCTATTTAAATGAAAACTTATTTTGATTGAGGATAAAATATAATGATGACTGGCTATACATAGGTTGCTGGTTCTATTTAAATGAAAACTGATTTTGATAATTGTTTCGCTTATCTATTGAGGATAAAATATAATGCTGACTGGCTATAAATAGGTTGATGGTTCTATTTAAATGAAAACTAATTTTGATTGAGGATAAAATATAATGGTGACTGGCTATAAATAGGTTGATGGTTCTATTTAAATGAAACTTATTTTGATTGAGGATAAAATATAATGCTGACTGGCTATAAATAGGTTGATGGTTCTATTTAAATGAAAACTTATTTTGATTGAGGATAAAATATAATGCTGACTGGCTATAAATAGGTTGATGGTTCTATTTAAATGAAAACTTATTTTGATTGAGGATAAAATATAATGCTGACTGGCTATAAATAGGTTGATGGTTCTATTTAAATGAAAACTTATTTTGATGATTGTTTGACTCATCTATTGAGGATAAAATATAATGATGACTGGCTATACATAGGTTGATAGTTCTATTTAAATGAAAACTGATTTTGATAATTGTTTCGCTTATCTATTGAGGATAAAATATAATGCTGACTGGCTATTAATAGGTTGATGGTTCTATTTAAATGAAAACTTATTTTGATTGAGGATAAAATATAATGCTGACTGGCTATAAATAGGTTGATGGTTCTATTTAAATGAAAACTTATTTTGATGATTGTTTGACTCATCTATTGAGGATAAAATATAATGATGACTGGCTATACATAGGTTGATAGTTCTATTTAAATGAAAACTGATTTTGATAATTGTTTCGCTTATCTATTGAGGATAAAATATAATGCTGACTGGCTATTAATAGGTTGATGGTTCTATTTAAATGAAAACTTATTTTGATTGAGGATAAAATATAATGCTGACTGGCTATAAATAGGTTGATGGTTCTATTTAAATGAAAACTTATTTTGATGATTGTTTGTCTAATTTTGATTGATGATAAAATATAATGGTGACTGGCTATAAATAGGTTGATGGTTCTATTTAAATGAAAACTTATTTTGATGATTGTTTGACTAATTTTGATTGATGATAAAATATAATGCTGACTGGCTATACATAGGTTGATGGTTCTATTTAAATGAAAACTTATTTTGTTTGAGGATAAAATATAATGCTGACTGGCTATACATACATGTAGGTTGATGGTTCTATTTAAATGAAAACTTATTTTGTTTGAGGATAAAATATAATGCTGACTGGCTATACATACATGTAGGTTGATGGTTCTATTTAAATGAAAACTTATTTTGATTGAGGATAAAATATAATGCTGACTGGCTATACATAGGTTAATGGTTGCAGTTAAGAAAATGCTACATATCTTTTACTGGATTAATGGTAAATTCCTTGATACGGCAACATTAAATGTAGGCCGATTTATACATTCTAAAGAAAGGATAATCCTGACTCTCCAGCTTTACCTAGTAAATCCCTTGTCTGTTTAAACTGTGAAAGCGTGATAAGAATTGTTCAGTCTTTTAATTTTCATTCTCATTTATTGGCGATGCATTTATCTCAAATACATAACTTACAGAAGTACTTTATAACAGGATCTATACAAATTTAAACATTTCAATTTTACGTTCGTTAGCTATTCTTTCCTCATGAATAATTAATCGGCCTGTCCTACTGAAGTCCACAAATACTTATACTATAAACGTCGTGCTTACTACAATAAAATAGACAATTATTTACTAATGCATTTTCTTATTTATTTTTGATTCTATATCCAAACCAAACCTTTGACTACACACAAATGAGTGGGAGATAAGAATTGGCCAATTAACAATTATCACTGGTGATATTTCTGTCAATGTCTATCACGAACACGAACACGACTACCTCAGTTTTCTGTTCGTTAGCTTTTCTTTTCTTATTTTCATTATATTAATCTGTCTTTCTGGAGTAAAGTAAACAAAACCTCACTGTAATGGTAAGAGACTCACTTTAAAGAACGTTAACCATTTTTTTTCTATTTTTCTGAATTTTATTTACTAAAATAGCAACATATACCACAGGCCATAACAAAAGGAAAAAATAGAATATTTATTTCACAAGGACAAGATGGAATTTATTTATAAAAAGAGAAAACATAAGTAAATAGTCAGTGAGCTTAGCTTACAATGTAGACAACATTATTCTCATATTAAAAGTTATCCCAAAATACATCTTAATAAAACTTAATAAAACTCAAAAAGTCCATCAATCATGGTTTCACTCTTTTTAAGTCATAGTTCCGATAGCATATACCGCTGAATTTGGATTCTAATCGATTAATTTCAATTATGCAAATATTTCCATTTGAACGCCTACGAAACCAAAAAATCCATGCGTCATTTTCTTCGTACGCTATAATTGAAGACGCCCTTGTTTATTTTCAATTTATATTGATTTCCTTGCTGTTTGTTTTCGATTCTTTCCGGTGATCATTCCCAATCTTAAAGTTTAATTAACCAACGAAACGATAAACATTGTGGAACATATCGAAGTCTGTCGTTTTATTCATATCATATCTAAGCGGGATTTTTATAAGAAAAATGAGCAATGGCACGATACACGGAACTGTAAAAAAGGCAACGTCTTCAATACGTATTAGTAAGAATATAATTATAAAACACTTTTTGCATCAAATGAATAAAATGCACAAATATGTAAGTATTACTTACCCATCATGGTGTTGTAATTGTCACCTCCCATAGCCATCATACCGAACATTCCTCCTCCCATTCCCCCTCCCATTCCTCCTCCCATTCCCCCTCCCATTCCTCCACCCATTCCCCCTCCCATTCCTCCGCCCATTCCGAACAGATCCCCGAAGAAAAATCCTTGGCAGACTCCGAACAGAAAAGCGAAACAGAGACAGGTCACAGCGGCAACAGAAGAGGACATCATCTTAGTTCTATGGTAACACACTGTCTACCTGTTCTCTATAGTTTTTTGTGGGTCTGCGATATACACAATGTCCAAACAACTTATATACCTACATATGCAGCACGTCCTATTACAGGTAGCCGTGCGCCTGGCCTGCTTCCCATTGGAGGAAGAGCACGGGATTTTAACGTTATTCCAGACAAAATAATTAATATGACAAACTGGAAATGTCAGTTCTGGAATGTAGGTCGCAGAGAATAGGACTGTTAAGGTTTACTATTATTGTCTCATCAACAAAGTAATGGTGTCTTGTTAAAGAAAGATAAATAAGTAGGCTGACTTACCAAACAATTAAGCCAAATTTACAGCAGGTTTTAACAGCGTGCCTACAAAGATATTCTAAATTCTAGTGATCATATTTAAGTTGATAATATTCATCATGTTACCGGTACAATTATTAGATTGCACATTCATTTCTCCGATAACTATCTCACTCTCTATTTGCAACATTGTATTTGTTCGTGTTAATACAATGTATTAATTGGTAATGATCTTTTATTCCATTATTATTTACACGTGAATATGTGATAATGATATGACGCAACTAGTGTATTATACACGTGAACGCGACAATACCGCTGCGCGAGTAATTAAATCTCCCTTTGAGCGCGATAACAATACTGCACGAAAAATATCCAGAGTAGTGCGAAAATAATATTTCACGAAGAAGTATCCTTGTGAACGCGACAAATATACTGCACGAATAGATATAAAAAAAAATGCGCGATAATAACACTGCACGTATAATTGTATACAAGATCGCACTACAAAATGCATGAATAATTATCAATGTGAACACGAAAATAATACTGCACGAATAAACATAAAGATGAGTCCAAAGAAAATACTGAACTAAAAAAATATGGAAGAGCACGAAAACAATACTGCACGAATAATAATTAATTTACACGCGAAAGGAGAATTGCCTCCACTGATTGAGTATGGACGGCCTTCACTCAGCTCTGATAAGAATGTGAAAAAACCCTGTATAGATTGATGACGGAGGACGTATAAAGATTGGAGTATATACTGAAAGATAAGTTCAAACTATCGTTGCACTGATGCTATTATATAACTCTCATAAACACTCATATATTTGATGTTAACTTCAAAGCCTTTGTGTACCTGTGATCATCCATGCGTATAATCGGTGTACATGTATACATGTACGGGCCATATACCTCCACTCCAGAACGATACAGTAAACGGTATCGCTCCGATATCCCGACCACCTTAACCCCATCCCCATCATTAACACGAGACATTAAACGGGCAAAATCGACCGATTTTCTTTGTGATAGTGACATCAGTTCATCACCCTTGTCACTTGTATTCCAAACATGTAATTTGTTCCAACTATGACGACACCTTGTGCTAGTGGTCAACAAGTCATTGCTAACCAAACGCCCATCCCTAACCAGCTTCAGCAGCAACTGCTGATGAACGCACTGTTGTCACAGGGGGTTGTCCATCAGCAATTTATACAGCCCAGTACCATGAGCAATAGTATATCCGACTCTGATATAGACCGTATTGCCAAAGCTGTTCGCAGCTTGATAATGGAAGACATAAACGTTATCGTCCAAAATCAAATTGCTCCTTTGACTGATCGTGTCAACTCCCTTGAATCTGAAAAAGAAAAACTCAGACACCAAATTGACGACGCTGAGCAATATGGCCGGCGATCATTAGTAAGATTGTCAGGTTTCCCTGGAAATGATCGAGAAAACACTACTGATACCGTGCTCCAGGCTGCTGCCGCATGTGGGATAAATATGTAGGGAAACCCCGTCCCAACCAATCCAAGCCACGACAAATCATCATACGTCTTCGCTCGGTTTCTGCCAAAAACTTTAGAAAAAATGAAAACCTTACATCTTACACAGCTCCGCAGTCAACTCGCCTATCTCGCTCGACAGGCTGTGAAAAAATGGCCTTGCCTCACAGACTTGGACTACCAACGGAACAATATTGGTTAAAGATCGAAATGAGCGCGTCTATCTTATAAAAACGGAACGAGACCTCACTGCATTCGGCCATGATATGCACATTTGATTAATGCGAACATCTTTGGCAATATGGTCTATGTCAGAGTCGGATACACTATTGCTCATGGTACTGGGCTGTATAAATGACTATGACAGGAAAAATGTTATATCAATGTAGCGAGTAGGCCCTTCTGATCTGCAGTACACACAGTACACAGTGTACATCGCTACATTACAGTTTCCATTTATACTACAGTCATATATTATCTTCATGCAGTGATTGTGTTGCTATGAGTTATGAAATGACTTTAATAGCTATGAAATACGATTAGAAACAAAAACGTGTTATTCTGATTCATTGTACTTACAGCTACAGTACTTAACACCAGTGATTCGTCCGTTACCATGTTGATGTATTTACGTTATGTATACTATGTATGTATGTATGTATGTAAAAATTATGTATGTATGTATGTATGTATGTAAGTATGTATGTATGTATGTATGTATGTATGTATGTATGTATGTATGTATGTATGTATGTATGCATGTGTATGTATGTATGTATGTATGTATGTCCCAAGGGAGATCTGAGAAACAGTTCGTTTTTATTTTCAATTTACTTATGTCCTGCCGCGACACTGCTCTGAACATTCACTGCTATTGCCCATCCATCCATTTCGGGTCACTTGGCTTCATTTTCTGTCAACGCTCCTCTATAATTGCAATAACACTGACTAGCTTATGGGTTAAAATGATGTCCTGTTTCGCAGATCTCGTTTGGGGTAGAAATTAATTAACTCTCTTGACACGTCTTTACTTTTGTGTGAATCTATCTATTTTTAAACCTTATTATATTGAGGTAAACATTTCTTTTTTATTATACTGCTATATATGTCCTTATTCTAGATTCATGTATGTATGGATGTATGTATATATTTTCCTATCGTACTACTCCATTTTCTCATGCCAAGTGCATTTTCTATCCTTCTGATCCATCTTTTGTTCATCATGCTCTCCAACCTTTTGACTACTTTACTTTTCATTTTTAGCATGATCCTTTCCCTTCACAACTTTCACCTTATTATAAATATACTTTTCCTCAAATACTACACTGCATTATACTCTCCTACTCAAAACTCTGTTGGTCTTAGTACGAAATGGTTCACTATGCACCTTATCCGGATGAAGTTTCTCATGTTTCTCCAAAGATTATCCTCTGTAACTTAAATGCCGATCTGCTCTAATTTGTATTGTATCCGGATAGGCCTTTTTACAATCGTTATTATTCTATATTTTGTAACCATACATGCATGTCTGGAGCTATGCTTGTAGACATCTTATTTGTATCTTATTTGTGCTATTTATAATATATGTATTACCGCTATTGGTAAATTTCCTACTTACTCCAATTAAGTTGCAAACACATGTTATTGATATGAATGTACCTAATGAAGTAAAGAGTGTTGTATCCTTCTCTACCACGGTATGTATCACTGTGTCAATAATTAGATGTTTGCTCTCTCTGGTGATGTTTAGAGTAACCCTGTGCCAAGTGAGTCTGAATCAGATCTTTCCTCGGTTTCATCATGTTCTTCTAATTTTTACAACTTTATTCAATGACGCCAACTATTCTTTTTTGTGCACCTGAATGTCCAAAGTTTGAAACAAAACAAAAATGATATTCTTTTCAGTGAACTACATCATACAACTATCATGTCCTTTACCAAAACGTGACTTAGTCCCGACGAGATAACTTCTGATTTAGACTTTCCTGCTTTTGCATCCCCTTATTGTTACTACAGACCCAATAGGCAAGGAGGAGGAGTGTCAGTATATGTAAGCAATGAAATTTCCTCTAAACGTCGACCCGACCTAGAGTTACCCTCAGTCGAGTGTGTATGGTTGCAGCTAAATGTTTCTAGAAGATCCACATAGGGTCTTTCTAGAGGCCCCCGATGCACCAGTTTCGTTCTAGGATCACATTGCCCATTCTATAGATCTTGCTTTCAGCACCGGAATATCTAATATAATTTTAACTATAGACTTCAATGCAAATTTACTAAGTGATACTAATCACTGTCTACACCTACTTAATTTACTATCTACTTTAAATCTTACCCATAGCGCTGCCAGTCCTACTTTCTTCACTGAATCGTCTACCTCCCTCTTAGATATAATTTGCGCAAGTAATACTTCTTTAGTAAACATGTGTCATGTCGGTAAAAAAAAATCCTCTATCAGCCTATTAGATACCATTGTCCCGTGTATGGCACTCTTAACATTTCAAAACCCCTAAAATTCAATTGTAAACGTAAGTTATGGCTATATGACCTAGGCAACTACGACGAATATCGTGGCAGACTTTCTAACGTTGATTGGGACAACACTTACGACATTAATGACAGACAAAAGTACAGAGCAATTTACACGTTGTTTACTTACAATAGCAAATGAGTGCATACCTAATAAAGATATCGTTATAAGAGCGAATGATGCTGCTTGGATGAATAGTGCAATTAGAAAATTGATTCGTAAACGTAAGTATATACATCGCAAAGCCAAACAGTCACAGCATGCTTACGACTGGTCGAATTTCAGGAAAGCTCGTAACATGTGTATAAATGCCATTCGTAAATCTTAACGTGATTATTTTAACAAATTATATGCAAAGCTTAACCATACTAATACCAGTAGCAAAGAATGGTGGAAGATTGTTTATCGTCTTATGATTAACTCAAGTAAAAAAATATATATTCCTCCTATTTCCGATAACGGTAACTTTATACAAGACGACTTCGACAAAGCCAATGCCTTTAACACTTTCTTCAGCTCACATTTTAATATTAACGACACTGATGTTGAATCTCCTGATCTACACAAATACCATAATCATACTCTTTCTGACATTGTCATATCTCGACAAGATGTTCTTGACGTAATACATTCTCTTGACTGCAAACAACTGTTGGTCCTGTCCTCATAAACCCTCGTCTAATCAAAGAAGCAGCAGAAGTTCTCAGTTATCTACTTCAAACT